GACACATGTTGAAGAGAATTTGTTCCAAAGTGTGTAGCAACATATCTATGAGGGTTTTCAATCATCCAGATATGATGAAAGTTGTGAAATGTTGTCCGCCTCACTCAGTCGTTGAACAGTTGCTTCAGAGCTTTCTGCAGGATGCTTTGATGCTCTGATTCCTCTGACGTAAGCTGTTGGGAATAATGATTTGTTGCCTGCATCTCAGGTAAGGAACAAGTAGTTCCTGTTGTCTGCATGCTTCAATACAATTCCTCTCATCATGTTTTTCTTGATGATGTAGAAGCTCTGTTTTACTTAATTTCCAAGTAAATGTGGAGTCAATATGATAATGAGAGTGATATAGTTGGTTCTCTTTCCAAAAACAACATCAATATGATGTTCATGTGAGAAATCTGTGAATCCTTCATGTTCAGATGCTGAGCCTCCACTTGTATGGACATGTCTGAAAGAGGAGACTTGAAGACAAGACATCTAGAGGGGCTAATGTCCCCCATATACAAAACCTCCTGATGACATTTGAATGATGGGGTGTTGATGAGAACTCAATGTTGGGTCTTTGATGGGAGGTACTTTAAAGTCTGAGATCGTGTCACCACAACACATCAGTAGAACAGTGTGGTCAGCTCCTTCGGATGCCTCTCTGTCAGCAGTGCTGCAACAACTTGGCTGTCAGGCTGATAAAATGATGGTAAAATTGATGGTTAACATCTGAAAGAACTGGATTGTATGTATTTAAATGCACAAAGTAGTATTATTGTAATATATATTATATGTAATTCGATCTTTGCTGCTTTGCCCCTGGAACTACATTGAGACCACATGAATCAGTCTCCTACAAAAGGATAGAAAAAGCACATCTTTTGGACGATGTTCATTTATTTTGGTTTCCTCCCTCATTAAGTATTTTCAGAATAAGCATTCTTTACATTCATGTTTTTTTCAAATGTGTAGTCTACCTCTTTTTTACATGAAATATTAACAAATCTGGGCCCAATTATCAAAGTAGTGCTGTACCGCTCAGGTCAAAAGATGGGCCTGCATTGGAGGCTTCAAATGAAATGCTGCTCATTTACCTCGACCAGGATGACGTCATGCACCGTCGAACTACTTTGTGATTCTGCGTGTTGTATAGCCAAGGAATCAGCTAATTTGTGTTTAAATAAACATTCAAGCACAGGCGCTAGCCAATCAAATCATGCTAATGCAGAAGAGGACAAAGAGGCAGCTGGTTTTTATTTTCAGCGTAGTTCTCTTCAGCACAGCATGGCACATTGGCACGAAAGCGTGTGGTGTGTCCATGAAAGTGATTGTTGTCGTTATGAAGATCACATCCGCACCAACCCTCAGGCACGCCCAAAGTGTTAACGCAACACATACATATGTGTCATGCTTAGATGTCTTTATCAAATCTGTTTTACACCATTTTAACTTTATGGAGCAGTATGATCTTTATCTACCAGTAAATATTTTAATGTGATCAACTTCAAAATCCCCTCTAACTCCTTTGGGAAGTTGAGGATTATGTCTTTTCTTTTATGTTTCACAACTTTCATCGATGAATGACAAGCAGTTGGTAACGATGAAGAATTTGGCCCCAGACCTCAATGAAAAACACATTTCTTCCAGTGTGCTCATATGCAGATAGACAAACACCAAATAAAAACCACAACCTAAGTAAACCAAGACAGGAGACGATATCCTTCGTGGGAACAAGAGGAGCCGTGGCCTGTGTGGTCGTAATAACGGAGCAGAGACCTCCTTTTCAACAGCCACCATTTCCTGCGGTTCTCTAATAATGTTGCTTTATATATTTTATGAATTTATTTGATTCTGTAGGGAGCGGAGCCAAAAGATACTGTAGGATTTAATTTGACGAAGTCACCATGTGCATGCATGTACTTGTGTGTAAGTGAGTGCAAGTGTATTTCTTGCATGATTCATTTATGGTGAATAAAACCAGCTGTTTCTATTGAGCAGCGGCCAAGAACTCCATGCACCGGGGGGGAGTAGACGGTGTAAGAGACCAGCGAGCGCAGAGTTACCCAACATCGCCTGACCAGCTTCTGACCACTTTGCCGTGCTTTCCACAGAGGTGACTATTGGTCAGACCACCGCTGTCACAATAATGGAATAACCCATAACCACATCATGGGGCTCGTAAGAATCCCCCCACAGAACCTCCAGTAATGTAACCAGCAACCAAGTCATATTCATAATGGTTATATCATATACAGGACACAAAGAAATCCCCCAGAATGTTATTCAGATAAAGACTTGTGCTACTTGTGAGATACTTGCGGTGAAATTATGACCATATGCTACTTTATGTTTTTTTTTAATGTTGTTATTTCACTTTATAATACTTAATACATCCACAGTTGTGTAGTGATGTATGCGTAATACACCACAATTATCTATAACAGGATTTGTTTCCCTCCCATCAGTTTCTTCAAGAGAAAATATTGAGCAACATGAAACCATTTGGCTCCGTTTTCACTCCATTACTCTCCCAGGGGAGGTTCTAATTTGTATTAATGTTTTCTTTTATTAATGTTACTCTATATTAACTGTATGTCAAGCAGAGGAATAAAGATGCAGCAACTTCTCAACTTGTTTTCTAGTAATATTAAAGAAATGACACATATTCTCTTCAGTGCTGATAACACAAAAATATACAGTTGACAAAACTCTAGTGAGTTAATGTGGTTGTATTTTTGTTTTAGCATTGATATTTGACTTCATCATAATAATGTAAAAAAAAAAGGCACATTCTGTACACAGTTAATCAGATAGCTGTATGAACAGTGCTATTCTTAAAGTCCATGGCAAACTTACAGCTCCAGTAATGAGGCTGTGATTGCAAATACGATTTTACAAAAACAAAACACATGAATAATGAGTGTGTGAGTGACCTTTGTGCAGAGGCTGTTTTTATTAATCCCTCTGTCCTCTCTTCTTCTATTTTAAGTCTTCCTCCCTCTACATTTAGCCATTTTCTTTCCTAAAGGACTTATAACTTTCCAGATAAGTGTTTTGTTTATTTCAAACTATTTTCATTTGCTTCATATGAAACAGAATCCAAACGGGCAAAAGAGCAAATGCAATGACACATGGTGAATACATTGTTGGCAGTAAATTCAAAGAAAGAGAAACTGTGTGTCATATTTTCTGTGCATGAAACAGAGCAGATCTGGGTGCAGTGACATACGATAAATGAAAATGTTATTTCATCGGCTGTAACACTGGAAACATCTGCATTGAGCAGCTCTTGGGCGATGCAGTGATTATCATGTCCTTCACTTTCTCCTAGCTTATCTGGGAGCGTGTTACTTTACTTGCATTTTGCTAACAAGCAGAATTGACACCAAGTTTTCTCATCATAAAAAACACTTTTCTTTTTTTTACTTTTGCAGTGATCAGAGATAAACAGTTCCAGCCTTTGTAGAAATTTGGGACACAGCTGTGGGGAAAACCTTCAAGACACATGCAGCTACAATAAAATACAGATAAATCAACATCGCTGTCATGATGCAGATGCCTCTCATGTTTAAGTGCAGTGACATGAGTGCCAACATCTCCATCAATATAAATAAATAGATAGGTTTATACATTCAGGTGGCAAAAAGACTTGACCTGGGTGTACCTGCCTCTCGCCCAATGTCAGCTGGGATCGGCTTCAGCTCCCTGCAGCCATCAGAGGACAAGCGGTGTCTTCTTCAGTGTCAGTGAATCATAATGGATTTCAATTTTAACAGTTTAACAGAATTAGTTAGTTCATCCATGCCCATATACTTTAATTTCAGACAGCTACAGTTAACTGATCGCTGTTCAAGTCCTAACAAGGACCACACCACTCCGACTGTTAAAACTCTGCCCTGAATTTTCAGTCGGCCAAAGAACTAATCCTGCCTCTTTATAAATCACACTGTTGTTTTGGGCCAAAAAAACATGTTGGATCCTTTGCTTCAGCAACGACACACAGGATCTCAGAGGTTGGCACCAGTCTGTTGTTCCCAAAATTAAATCCAAACATGGAGAAACTGCTTTTAGCTGCACATATATGGAACCTTGAAGATCTGTGACTTAACTCAAACTTTAAAAAAAGCATCTGTTTGTCCTGCTCTGTTTTTATTACCTCCACCAAGGAGGTTATTTTTCACCCCTGTCCATTTGTCTGTTGGTTGGTTTGTGGATGGATTTGTAGAGAACTTGGTGGAAGAATGTGATATGTATCAAGGAAGAGCCCTTTAAATTTTGGTATGGATCAGAAGATGGATCCAGGGCTTTTTTTTTTTTTACTTCCCTTAACATTGCCAGATTGTAATCAAAGTTTTCTCAGGGAATATTTCATGGATATTAATGAAAAAAATCAGATTAAGTGAACTGATATCTGAGAGTGTGAAATTTGGTGCAGCTTGATTGAATTTAATGTGACTGTTGGGCCAGGGCAGAGGTTTACATTTCACTGAGAGCCTTTATCATAGTTAAAGGGTCAGTCCATCAAGTAAAACAGTCTGTTTGGCATTCTGTACTGTGCTGTTGTGATTTGTAATTAATCACAAAGCAGCCTGGTACCAAAGGTATATATTTATAGGGGCAGTGTATTCATATCAGCAGATTTTTTTTGTATTTGTTGTTTTTTGTAAATGTTCTTTTGTTGTGTTTTGTAATTTGTTGTTGTATTTTCCCATTTGTCCTTGATATTTGCACTCCAGGGCCACCGTAGCTAAGCCTATTTCTTCTATTCTTAATACTGAAGGATTTCTTTTTATTCCAAATTTGAATCTAATTAATTTAATTTAATACATGTTGCAGCCCCCTCCCTCCCCAATTCCCGAATTCCCTCCAGCTCATGTTATGAAACTGAAGTTAGAAAAGTTTTGACTTGATCATGTCAGAAGAGCTCGGTGGTGATTCTGGGATTCATTTTGTTCTTATTATCGTTGTTGTTGTTTTTGTTGTTACGTTGGATTAGGTATGTTGTTATACGTCATCCCAGCATTGGGCAGTGAGGCTGTCTACTCAGTTGCGGTCTCTTTCTTGGAGGCAGGAATGTAAATCCAGAGGGATTAGTGAGAAGTAACAAACTGAGCTGTAAACCCTTCAGTAGCTCTCCGAGGGGTCTACCCCTGCCTCAGTGCGTAAAGTTGGGCTCCGGATGCGCAGCGCAGCTCTCACTATCCACACAGGCTCCATGTGCATCAATCTTGCGGGATACTTGACGAGGTTTCCTGAGGTTTCGGTGCCACTACCTTCTTGGGTCAATGCCAGATGAAAACGGAGGCGTTCTGTTGATGTGAGGGCGTTTTATCTTGAGCAGATCGTCTGTCCCGGAGCGCAGAGGGGACATGGGTCAACTTTATGGTGCGACTCTTTTACCGTTTGGCGCAATCTGTGTGGTTTTCCTGTGGGAATCCGGTGCCAGCTCCATCAGGACGACGCTCGCAGTGGACACATCGAGGTGGGTCCTGACAAGTGGATACTAAAAAATGTCTGTCGTTTTTGTGAATGAGCTGTAATATCATGTCAAACTCATCCAGGGATGATGTCGGTTTAATTCATGACGCACAACTCTTAACAAAACGCTTCAGAAACAACATCAGTGTTTAGGTTTTTCAATTTACTTTGTTTCTACTCTTAATTTTAAACAAGGACTTCGCTGTCTGATTTACGCACGGTGCCAAAATCCATAATAGAGTTTAGTCTGTTTAGTTTAATTGGTCGCTGCTTTTTTTTACGATACACTGAGCACGCTGTCAAAGAGGAGACCCCTAGATGAACCGCTGTTGCTCGTCTAATCTAATGTGATCTTCAAGGAAATGCAAAAAGGCAACAGGGGGACTCCAAATGGTTGGAATCGGTCTCGGTGCGCAGAGCCAAATGTTACTTATGCTCAGACACAACATGACAGATGCTATCAACGTGCCCGGAGAGAGGAGGTCAGTGTCAGGGGATGTGAGGGGAGCACATGCACCCAATATACCGAGGAACCACTGACGAGCACACCGCTGAGCAGCAGCAGTAGACCTCAGATTATAAACCAACAGTAGCCTATTATTTTTTTATTCCTATCGTTATTCTTTTCAACTTGTCCAATTTCAAGGGACCACATCAGATTTATTTTTTAGAGCTTCAGTGTAAACTCACTGGATTATGTTACAGTGGGATGAAAACATCCCCTGATGCCCCCAGTTAAATAAACACATACAGAAGTTAATACCTTCAAGAGCATGGACATGGTTTAGTTGAAACAAATGTGTTGGATATATAACTGCACTGTAACACAAATCATGTGAGGAGCTTGTATGTTGTTACTTTGGTTTACATCTTGAAATATGCACTACAAGTTTTACAGTCAAATCAATAAATCAGCCTGGCCATATTGGTCACTTCTAGTTTTCTTCATTTTCTTGGTGCCACATTACGGATGCAAGATATTTTTGTGGTCATAGAAGCCTAACCATTGCATATTTGAGCACTGACATGTTTTGATCAATGGGCTGATTTTTCATCAGTGTATCAATGTCGATATTGACCTGAAAACTGCAGTATCAGCAGGGCTCCAGTATAACATCATGTTTATATAATATGGTGCAATGTCCAGGGACATTTAGGTCAAACTACCTTCGGTGTTAAACTAAATCACCCACCAGGTGTAAGTGTTTAAACTACGAGCAGAGGGGAGCCCTGCTGGGTTAGAGGTTAACGTGCTGACCACGGACCACCAGCCCACGACCTCTCTCTCTCTCCCCTTCCAGTTATACACTGCTGACAAACTGTGTAAAAGAGCAGATCAATTACATCTGTTTCCATGTGTCTGTTTTTTCAGAGCGGAGTGTCCAGAGAGTAAGATCCTGACTGTGGAGTATCCCTGTGTCAGAGCAGGAGGGAAGAACAGCACTTGTTTCAGGTAGGACACCAAGTCTCCTTGAGCCACTGATTGAAGCAACAGTCACTGTACTTTATGTATTTACATTTTGATATTGAGCTGACTGTCTTTCCCAGAGAAGGACAGTCTTGACAAGTGGCAGCTGTTTGGGAGAATTGAACCTGAAAGGGTCTGGGGTTATGGGAAGATTTCTTTAACCACTAAACCACTCGGTCAAGTAATTTCCAGAACTCCACACTGTAAATCCCACTCTTGGAAACTGAGATATCCACTTCAGAGGGAAAATAATAATTTTCTGAAAACCACTATTCATAGAGGGAAGATGTAGTTGGTATAAGCGCCATAATCTGTCAACCCACAGCAGCTACTCCCCCCTTTCCCCCTTATCTTTTATTCCTCACTCTTTTTAATAACCAAACCACAGTCTGAACATGGCCACTTTTATGAACACATAACTTTCCTTTGCACTGCAGTTTCCATCTGTGCTGAACTGAATCCCGCCGGCTTGGCTCCGTGACAGTGAAACAAAACTTGAACTTGAACTTTCTCAGCTTGGGTCCATAGCTCAAACGTTGAGGGAAGGAGTCCTCCTCAGGGAGTCAGGCCTGCATCATAACCTAAAAAGTAGAAGTCTGACAGGAGAGGATGTGATTAGTTATTTTTATTCCATTGCATCCATCCAGGGTAAGACAGGGATAAGAGACTGTTTATAGTCATAACCAGCAGTGATTACCAGCAGAAAGTATGTTTTAACTATAGGCTCACAAGTGAATAAAGGAGTGTGTTCATATATACATTTGGAGACATATACAGACTAGAAAATCTAAAGGTTCATTTATGCTGCCCTCCTTTATGATGGCATGGTTGTTTATCTATAAATCCACTAGAGGGCTGCGTAGAGTTGAGAGTTTCTGACAGCAGCAAACATGTCGACGGTGGAGGAGGTTGTGATAATTTATCTCTTAAAGCAACACAATGCTCTCTCGGCTACACCTACAAGTTGGATCTGTAGTTCACTGTCGTAATTGCAAGTTGCAGTCTGAGCCTTCTGATGCACAGACAGCTCTGCATTTGTTGGCAAGCTGATGGAGAAGAAACCAGCGAAACAAGCCAAAGAACCACATCAACTAAAAAGGTTTTCGGGGTCTATGTCAAGAATCAGCGTAGAACAGTAGCTCAGAAAGTAACAAGCTAAAAAAGCAAGTAGCTGACAGAGTTATTGATGTTTGAGCATGTGTATCAAATCCAGCCAATTGTTTTGGCTAATTTCAAAATAGGTTTACCTGGCTTTTGATGTTAAACCACTAACACAGCCCATCATCAACAGCAGAAGACAAAGCAAACAAGCAAAAGTTATGACTTTTCCAATAACAACAATGCCAGGTCAAGATCAGCCTGGTCTCTTTTAGCTCTTACAAACAATTAAAATATGCTCCGATATACACTCTGTTTTGGTTTCTTACATAATCACTTTCTCTTTTTCTCCTCTTCGTTTCCTTCGCCAATGTCCTCTTCAGGTTGCCCTACGTGATGTCTGTATTGAGAATGGCAGCTAGCTGTCTCTAGCTGCTAGCTCTGGCTCCAGTTGTTGGTGTATGATGTATGCCGTAAAACAGGTTGTAATGTTCCTGGATGGTACACCATTATTAGTTTAAGGTATAAAAACTCCTACTATTAAAGAGGCACAGTTACATCACAATGACACCTGTATGTTCTTACCAATTCTCAAAGTCCATATCTAACCTTAGGGATAAATGAGCCTTACGAGGGGAATGTTGGGGCACAGTTTGAAAGGTGTGACATATTGCATAAAGAAATTGGTTTCTTTCCTGCTCTTCTTTTAAAACATTCACAGTCTCAAGGGGTATATCATATGGCTACTCCATCATATTATATGAGCTTGTTGAGGTCAACATATGTTAAAGGTAAGGCTTGAATCCAATGCAGACATTATGGCAGGTTGTAAGACTTTGAGCCTGAGATACATCACACACAACAGGAGAAACTCAATGTAAATCGCTTATTTTGACTTTTGACTTTGGCCTGGAGTTGTTTTTGTCGTAAGAAAATCCTTTAATAAATGAGGCACCAGCTCTGGTGTGAGGCCAGACCATCTGATCTGTTTACTATCAAGGTTAGACTGGAACAGGCTCTGTGTCTTGTCGTATTTCTGGCTCTATAAGAGATGTGTGGTGCTAGAGGAGGTGGATTAGATGAGGCTGTATTTTCCTTTTGCATGTTTCTCAAGGCGGCTAAGCACAGATCTTGATCAAATACAGTGTGCAATTAACTACAGGGGAAAACAGAGTGATCTAATGTGTCGGTGTGTACGTAAATATTACATTCAAGTCAGCGTCACAGAGAGGAGCACGTTGAGGAGGCCATTGCATTTTGAAAGTTGGAGTTTAGGGAGATTGATGTGTACTTCTAAACATGTAGCTCTAAGGCCTATTGAACAATAAGGGTTATGGAGTTATCTGGATGCATAGTTTTTACTGACCAGGTTTTATCTTGATAATTCATCCTGTCTATTAACAACGGACTGAAAGATTGATTCTGGCAGGGAATTTACCTCAATCCCAGGCCACCTAGTTCATGCAAACCACCAGACCACTAATTTGTAGACCACCTCTACATGTTGATTTAATACCAGACCAGTTATAAATATGGCCACTAATGTTCATCTGGGTAGCCTACTGGGGTTTTAATGTATGCTATAGCTATTCATGAAACCTCAAAAACCCTCAATAGGAATACATGAATCATAGCTAATATAAATCTACAAGACTGGCAAAGACTATGAGATCATTAACATAAAATCTCACTGAACATTGAGCTCTCAACGATGTTGGTTTAGCTGGTGTTTAAGACTGTTGTCGTGTGACTGTGCGTGCCTACAATTTATGCCCATTGTTTGTAACATAGTGCATTTTTTTACATTTTCACTGATTTCCCAAAGAATAATTAATGGATCTTAATGAAAATCAGGCACATTTAGGCGACTGATATCACTGAGTGTGTGAAATTTGGAAGACTGTTCAGAGGAATACTGAAGGCAATTGAGTTATTTTAGTAATGGGCTGGGGGTCTTCAGCTGTCCAGTCATCTGTTTCCTTTGTTTTATATTTTGACTTTTTCTTAAGGGAATTGAGGGGGATGAGCTGTATGCGATGGCCCATAGCCTGGCTGGCTCAGCATTTTCCGCGCTCTTGTTCCTTTTGGTTGACATCTCCAACCCATTTTGTTTTTGATTTGATTCCCAGATTGATTGTTGTTTTGCTTTTTTACTGGCACTTCCATTTGTCAGTCTCCAGCTGAGCCATTGTTTGTAGAGGGAGGTCATAACAATGACTGAACAGGTCTCTTTTTGGCAAATATTTTGCTTTTTGCATTATCTAGCTGCATCTGTGACAAAGAGCCTTTATTTTGTATTTCCTTATTCTCTGCTCCGTTTTTCCTTGTGATCACAACGATTGTCCTTTTTCCTTTTTTCGACGTAATTTCCGACACTGCAGCAAGAGTGGCGTCTGATAAGGTCTGTTATCACCGTTGACTCTTGATGACGCAGGCCAATGTTGACACTCAGGACAACAGGAAATGTGCTGGTGCCCCCGATGGGCTGTGCACCACTGGCATTTGTAAGCCATTGTTTCTTTGCAGTTTTTTAAGCAATTGGTCCTTAGTTTTAAGCAGATGCATATAAAAGCAGGCTCCTCATTACTAGTTTAAGTGTACAAGAGTTTAAGTGGCTACAACAATGATCTCTGTCAGATTTTATCACATATGATCAACCATCTAATTTAAGCTAAAGCTAGTTTCATTAATTAATTGAAAACAATATTTCAAGAAAGAATTTAAACCATTTAAATAAAAATAACTAGGTATCTCATTTCAAAACAAGTATTTTATGAAAGAGATAGAAGTATGCACTTCAGTGGTTAGTCAGATGATATTGCAATGTTACTTGTATAACACTGACTGCATCAGTGGGTTGCATCCACACAGAGGAGATATACTACACATTGAATGTGGTCCTTGACCTTAGAAATAACATTTAGTTATAAAAGCTTTTTAACCTGACAGGTTAACAAATGATTTGATTGTACTTTTGGAGAAGAGATTAAAAAAAACACCATCCTGCCTTACATATACATAGTATTGTTTTTACTACATATGTGAAGAAATCCAAGCGTTTAAATGACTGCCATTATGGCTGCTAAATTTTGATTGGACAATTGGAGTTCATAAACTGCATTTGACCCAGAACTGGTCGCTGTAACCACAGCTCTGCTATGTCGACAGGCTGCATTTTCCAATAATATCTGATTATCTTCTCTTATTTCTGCACCTGGCACTATGTTCTCATATTCAAATAATCTGGGAAAAGTAATAGCCTGCATGTATCGATAGAGTTTTGATTGAATGTGGCATTTTAACCATTTGGAAAAGTTCACACCTTTCCAAAGAAAGTGGGCTCAGTTGCAATCAAAACACTGAAGTAAATGGTGGTTCTTAAATTATGGTAGCACTTAACAATGAAGCTGCTTTCTCACTGAGATTTCATGAAAATGATCCTTATGGTCAAGACAAGTCCAGCAATCATATTTTAGATATACTGAATTTCTAATGATGTTGACTTTGTCAAAGTAGAAACTGCCATTTAGAAATAAATACAGATCCCTCAAACCTGTTGCCAGCGCACTACGACTCGTAACTCTCTCCACTTCTTTCCCTCAGTTGCTTTTTGCCATTGCTGATATTCCCGATGTCTACTCATGCTCCAATCAAAATGCTTTCTTGTGGATAAGATTGTTTGTTAAATGCCTGCAACATGATTGTGTCTCTGTCTCAGATGGTTTAGGGGTGTTGTGCAGACATAAACCTTTTGCTGATCTCACCATCTAAACAAAGGCCTGGCGAGCCGCAGGTCTCCTACCCCCTCTGCTGTGGCTCTCACAATGATGACGTTGAACCAGCGCAATTTGTATTGTTTTGCTTGTTTTGTGTTCCTTATTCTGTCT